TTATTATTATTAAATGCCATTCCACCCCTTTTTAGGGTTTTCTATGAGGAGAGTACTCAGAAGTGGTTTATCATCCCCTTCCCCTGAGGTCACACTCTCAAACTCTGGTTCCACTGTCACACACTTAATTCACTGAGCTAGCCCGCCAGTTGTATTTGAACAAAGCACCACTACATATTTATAAGCCATGCATTTATTTGTATCTCTGTAATGCACATTATTTTCCCTCTTCTAAGCCACACCATAGAGCAGGGTTAGACTGCAGCTGGGACCGCAACTAGAGCTTGTAAACATTATTTTGCTGGATTACAACTCCCAGAATGCCCAGCCCCTGGCCGTGCGGCCTTACAGCTGTACTACCAAAAACAAACAAACAAACAAACAAAGTACCATTTTTGTAAGCTTTAGCCACAATACACCAATGATAGGATGCTCAATGCACATCAACTGCATGGAAAAGGTGCTTGGAAGACAATGTTTAACAATCAAAGGGGATGTATGTAAGTTGTATTTGATGCTATATAAATAATAACAATAATTTGTTACCTATCGGATTCCCTATGGTTAATGGCAGTTACAATTATGCACTTCAGTATTGTAATGATCTACAAAACTTAATTTGATACAACATAGATGAATCAGAAATGGGACCTTCAATCTAATCCCTGCTATTGTCAAACAGCAAAGTGATTCAGGACAGCAAACAGAAAAAGCTGAAGAATTAAAAAATATATATTTATACCAATTTTCATATTACAGCTACAGCATGGGGCATTGATTATGTTTTATTATTTATTTTCCTAGGTCGTCAAAATGTAAAGAAGAAATACAGTCCATAGCCAAGATCTCATTGACTTTCCAGGTATCCTGGAGTGCAACAATCTCTTCTTATTGAACATGTTCGCAGATAAGAGTCCAAAACTTCTTGGCAATGAAATATTTCCCAGCCCTATATTAGGATTTAACAGACAGCAGCTCAGGGAAGGATAGGAAGATGAACTTTGGCTGTTCCCTTAGCCCCTTTTTCTTTATCCGTATTGGAGCATTGAACAATTTAAAATTATAGATGTACATGATGTATTAGTATAATTAAAAACATATTAAAATGTTTTAAAAAATTAGATTATTTCCCCAGTGGACAGATGGGATTTTAATCCTCCTTGTCTCACTGTATCTTCCCATTCCTGATTTGATACTATGGTAAGTGGGGATTTTAGGAGTGTTGTATTTATTGAATTTAGAAATTTTTAAAATGTTTAAAAATAGTTTTGAATTGTGGTTTTAATATTATATGTTTGTGGTTTGGGGTATTTTTAACGATGCTTTAAATGCCAATTAAATGGCAAGAAACTTCTGTTTCTCCAGGGTTCCACTTTGTCATGCAAAACTTGAGATATATCGGGATCCGAATTCAAAGGAGCTCATCCAGATCTTGTGGGTGGGTGGGTGATGTTCTGGCATGACCTCTGCTGGAAGGAGAACTTAAAGGGTACAAATGATCCACCCAGAAAAATTCTTAGTATTTACATTTCTTGCTGCTATTATTTTGCTGTTTGTAATTTCAAACACTTAGGACTTCAAGTACACTGTTACACCATGCAGGTTAAATCCATGTTTCCTTACCTAATGGGGGCTGAAGCATTCCTCCTTTCTTCTCACAGGTTCCAATTTGCTGTATATCAGAGGAATCTACTAGCCTCCAGAAGTCATTTTTGTTGTCACTTCCATCAAGCCGCAACCTTAATCTGGCACCCGTAATTCCAATCACTGTAGCTATACACACTGAGGTAACATTGCGAGGGTCATGAGCTTCCAGTTTCATGCCTACTTTGAAATCGTTGCTAGGTGGAATCCTAGACTACAGGAAAGGAAAAATGAAGAATGCATTGGATTATTTTCCCAACAGAGATTCAATGGTATTTCTCTGGCTATGTGGAAGTTCTAAGCCTTCTTTCTGACCACTCAAATTGTTTTTCAGTCTTTTGAACCAAGACTTATGTCTTCCTCCAATTAAATGGCAAGAAACATTTCCTGGTAGCTAATACCGGAATCCAATGGCTGAGACTTTCCCAACCTTGGGAATTATCCTATGGACCCTAAATGCAGCGTAAACTCACTACAAACCATGTTTACATTTAACAGAGGATTTACAGTTGCAACTTCATGTAACAAGGCAAATTAGGTTAAGAGACAATAACATACATATAACAACACACTTCCAAAACAAACATGTAATCCATTTACAAGAAGTTACATGAGAAGTATATACAGTAACACTTATAAAATGCCTATGTTAGGTTGCATAACACATGACTATATTAAATGTAAGCAACATTACCAGAAATAAAATAAAAAGTATATAAAGTATACACAGCCATCTATGTATACCATTTATAGCACAAATATAAGCTTCATAAGTACTGTAAACTGGTTTATATTCTGAAGTGCTTACCTGTCTGAAACAGTGTGCAGGTGCAGCTATGGAGCCAGTTTCTTTCAAGTAGTTATCCCAGTTAAAATATTCTAGAATCAAACAGGAAAAGGCCAATTTACTTCAGCTACCTATGACATGTTTTTGTTCCAGATAACTTTTTTTTAAATAATTTCAGAAATGCTAAAAAAACCCCTAAAGAATACTAGAGAAATGTTATAGTGTTCAGATTTTAATTTTTAACCTATTTTTTTCATTCACACTAGATTCAGTCCTTATCCCGAATGTATAGACATTTAATTTAATTTTTTAATCTGTTTCAGGACCATTTTTGCTAACATCAATAGAAGCAGGTTCTGCAAGTTGAAGTCAAAGTGCTATGACATGAAAATGAAAAGGAGCATTGTCTGCATGACAGCAATGAAGGAGGGGAGGAAAGGTGGAAAAGACAATGATCTAAGATTCGTGCTAAGATGACGACGCACCTTAAAACAATCTCACACAGTGTTAAGCTTACAGATTTTGCATTTTTTTTCTGCACTCAACACATCATCAACTATGTTTATACAGCATAAATTTAACCCAAGATGGAATAGCAGTTCTTAAGCTTTACAATGTGAACATTTCTCTGTGGGAAGGACTGAGCTAAATTAGTACATCATCACTATAATCACCACTACCATCATTATAATTATTAAATATTGTGAAACACACTTTGGAGATTATATCCTCACAAAGCATCCTGAAGACAATAAAGCTGTGTTGGACATGAGCACATCTACTGCAAGTAAAAAAAAAAAAATCCAAGCTGAGCTAGGTTTGATAGTTGAGAACAGATTCTACATAATAACCATACATTCATAAAATATCAATTTGAACAAATATATTGTAAAATCTTTTTTTAAGTGTGTGCAGAAGGCATAAGATGCAAAATAGGAAGCAGTTCCATCACTGAGACACCACCACCAGGAAAGCCCTACCCCTTTTACTCAGCTCAGTCAGGCACGTCTAACTCTCAATCCCATGAGCAAAACCCTGAGGATGATTATAGCACATGAACGCAACTGTGTGGGTACAGACAATCATATAGATAACCTGGTGCCAATAATTTAAAGCTCCAAAGGTAATAACCAGGATTTTCAAATCAGCCCAGAAAGGAAATGGTATTCAATGTAACTGGCACAAAAGAGCGTCATATGTTCACACTTCCTGGTCCTTATCAATATCCAAGTAGATACATTTAATGCCAGTTAAGAATTTTCAGCTGAAAGGCAGCTCACAATAAAATGTGCTACAGGAATACAGCACAACTGCATCTCTATGCAACCATGCCAAATAAGCCTCAACTGGCCTTTTATTCTTCATTGACAGAAGGCGCTTCCCCCATCAATTTCAAAACAGAATCCAGCCTGACAGGGAAAAGGACAAACTAGGGTTGTGTATCATCAGTATGCTGCTGTTGTTCTGGGCTGCCACATTGCTTCCAATGTATGGCACCATTAATACAGTTTTTGAGACATATTCAAAGAGCCGTTTATCACTATCAAATCCTCCTCAGCAGGTTTCCACAGCTGAGTGGGGATTTGCACCCAGTTCTCCTAGCAGCTTCATACATCTATTGAAAAAGGAGATAAAATCTAACCATGACATGCTCCACAAAGCTAAAGCAATGGAGGAGAACAGCATCCTCAACCTATCCTTCCGTGTGACTGGACACCCGGACAGAAATGGAGCCACTCTCTCCTAATCTCCAGACCAAATGCTGAGATACCAGCAGGATCAAGAGAGTGGTGTGCCTGCCTTCCAGTCTGCGGTCAGCCTGCAGGAGTAAAGAAACTGTCTCTGTTCTCAAATCTGGATGGAATCCTGATCTGAAATGGACTTTCTAGATGCCTCAAACTTTACTTGATCCGTACAGGTTATAATACTGCCTCTTTGAGGACAGAAAATAACCTCTCCCTTCTTCAGAGAGGCATTTACCACCCCTGAGGCCCAGATTCTGAATCCCCATCCACCTATCCTCTACCCCCTGCAGCCTTTCGCAACGATGGTATGAAAGGGCATCACAAACCTGCAATCAACTTGTCTGCACCCAGAAGTTGACTGGGCTGAGAAGTATCCATCATGAAACGATTAGAGAGCAAACTAATCATTTTCAGCAATGAGTCACTGATGACTGTGGCAGCTCACTCACAGTGAATACAAAAGCTCTTGCCTGCAAAGTGGGATGCAAGCTGGTCATAGTAAGTTGTCAAAGGCTCCACAGCCTGAGCTTCGTTTCTCAGATCATCTGAAAAAACCTCAGCTGGCTTAGACAGATTTATTTTATTTTATTTTATTGATTGATTGATTTGATTTGATTTGATTTGTATCTCACCCATCTGGTCTATACGACCACTCTAGGCGGCTATTTGAAATATATAGTTTATTGTTCTCACTGCAAAGCTGTAATTGTTTATCTCTTGAGTTAAATGGAACAAGTACTCGAAGTTCTACAGATGCTTAAAACCCAATACTGTACATACTCTGCTGAAAAATGCAGATAAATACAGGTTCCTATAAGAGGGCAGTAGTTAGTAATGGCAGGGAGTAGGCACTTACCTTGTAAGCCCTATTAAGGTCGCTATAAGTCAGTTCTGACTTGATGGCGTGTAACCACACATACACACACAAATACCCACACACACACACACCCAACCACAGGAGTTCCACCACCATGCCCTACACACAGTTGTGGAAAGAACACAAAGACATGCACATACACAGATGCAAATCTCTCTGTGAGCTCTCACCTCTGCTCTAAAACCTCTTCCCTTCTTCTCTACAGCTCTTACAATCCTTCTTTTGTGCTACCCTTTGAGCAAATGGAACAGTAGTTAAGGACCAAAAGGAAAAGTGGACAAGATATCCTAAACTAACAGAATACTTCTAAATGACAGAAAAACAAGGTATTTCATATGTTGTCCAGTCAACAGGAATAACATTAGACTTTGCAACAAAATCCTCATCCATGCTGGTAATCTGTGCACGTTCTCCAGGATTTTATATGAATGCGCACAATTGCCAGTCTTTGTGCATTTTATTCCTATTAAGCACATCATATATAAAACTAAAACCACTAACAAACTCCAAATAAACAGCTGTGTTAGTCTATTTACGCATGCTAGGGACATGGTGACACAAGCAAAATGTCACCCTGTGGTTATGCAATTTTTAATTGCGTTCCTGTCATACTTTGCAGTCACATAGTATTTATTCCAGGATGTATATCCCAATGTGGTTTTTCTGAGTTACTGAAACATTTCCTTCCAATTCAATAAGCGCAGAGAACTTCTTGTTGAGATCATTTGACAGAAGTAAACCAATGCATTGATACAAATGCCATTGATTTTTTTTAAAAAAAGTTAAAACATTTGAAAAGGACATGCACCGTGACAGTAGTTCAAAGCAGTTGTGATAAGATCATTCACACATGTAACATGATTTTTTTTCAAAATATCTGCAACAAAAAAAGTAGAAGTCTCTGGCTGAGTGAGAAATGATCCATAGTTAGCATGCTCCCTGGGCAAATGATTTGCTAATGGTTGTGTGCCGTGTGACCACAAATGTATGATACAAACTCAATGGGGGATAGGAAGTCAACACTTGGCTTGTGTGACTGTAGCTTTAGTAAAAGAAAAGGAAAAAACAGAAAAGACAGAAAACTCCACACAAATATTTGAGTATTGAAGCTTAACAGATTTATTTCAACAGACTTATCTGTTTACTGAATGTCTGAAAACTGGATTCTGATGCACATAAACTCACACTGTAATAAATATGTTAGTCTTTAAAGCACCACAATCTTCTCTCCTCCCCATTTTCTTTTCCCATAACTACCAAAAATGATAATCTGCTGCCACCTAGTGGCTTATACACAATATAATTGCAGTTAATAAAACCACATTGCCGGGTTGTTGCTTGAAATCTTCTTCACACAACTAATGCAAGTGAAGCAGCTATGTGGAATTATCACAGGTCAACGCCATATTCTGACCGTATGTTTGTTTCCTCCATGCTGAAATCCTGCCATTCATTATTGGGAAAATATCATGGTTTTCACCCATGCAACTATTATTTAGACTGAGGTCCCTCAGCTCTCCTGAGACTGAAGAAGCTGCTTAGATGAGTAACGAAACATTTCAACCTAACAAGAAAAAAGTCCAGTTGCCATGACTCAACTTTCAGATAATCTCACCTGGATGACTGAAAATCTTCACAGATATATTATTCAGATTCTCAACACTGAGGTGTGGTTATCATTTGTAAGGGGAGAGTAAATACTTCCCCTATTTGTACCCCTTTCTCCCATTATCACCACTGTTTCTCTATGACACCTTAATTTAAAGTTCTTGCAAATTTGGAGTGCAATACACCACCATCCTTAAGCAAACAGTGAAGTGGTGTGTTTGTTCTTCTATCTAAAGAATTTGACTTTTCACTTTCACAACTCCTATTGTCTTAATTTTTGACATATTCACATTTTAAAATTTTGTTCTCCCTTCCTAACTCCCCACACAAGGGGATGTGAACCTCACAGCTTCTCAGTGCCAAATCAAGGGAGAAGAACCCTCTTTTCTCCTCCTCATGGCAAGACTTCTCTAGCCGCCTAGAGTGGTCCTATGTGATTCAGATAGGCGGGATATAAATTAATTAAATAAATAAATAATAAATAAATTATCCCACCCCCAAGAACAATCCTGCAGGATTTCTTGAGTGTTTTGTGGCCATTTTTGTTCCTGGAAGAAACATCAATCTGTGCAGGATTATTACAACTCCTGTGCAAAATGCCATCTTTCACAATTTCACCAAAAGGTACTGAGCTATTTCACTTCTGCTTTTAAAAAAAGTTGGGAAAAATTTTATAAGAAACCAAGAAATTTTGTTGATGGAGGAGAAAATGTTAACTAGACATCTCAGCATGGTGGGACTTGGAAAATCAATTAAAATGAGTAATTTTTTTGAATATTCACAACACAGTACAATACAGTATAATGTTTCTCCATGATCAAGTATATTTACAACATGTATGGCAATTTAGTTCTTATTTATT